TCCTTCATATGGAACTCTTTTATATCCATTTCTTGAGTCTCATAAGTGATCCAACAAATTAAAAATTAATAAATTTTATATTAAAAAACATACATTTGACATATATGTATTTATTTTGAATTGGTGGTGTGAAAATTTGATTATATAATGTTGTCAAAATAAAATTAAAATATTTATAAATATTTATTACCTTCGGTTTGACCCCAATTCATTGAATTCAATGCCGATTGAACCTTTTGACCAATTCTCTTTTCTGGGTCGGATTTTAGAACATCGCGTTTTATAACTAAAGTTCAACAAGTCAAATGAAATTATGCTCATAACAAATCGCTACAAATGCAACAATAAAAACATTCAGAAATTGTTTTATATATCTGTATCTCTTTGAGGCTTTGCATTACATCAACCTTAAGACACAAAAGAAACCATAAAACATTAATCTCATTAAATGACCTCATCTAGTTAGCAAAGTACCCTTTGATGACACCACCTCTTGTAAGAGATTCATAGTTAGGATCATAATTGTACGAATACCAAGTTTCTGTCTTTCGATCCCATCGATAGACATTCTCTTCGTCGAATCTCCAGTCACATGACTCGTAGGAATCTTCACTGCATTGATAGTTGAATTTGTAGGCGACAAAGGTTCCCATGTTTGTCGAGCAGTTGAACATTGTTGCGGAGGGATAGATTTTTCGGACATGCACCTTGAACTTGAACTGAGCCCATGGCTTTAGGTGAACGACGTTGAATTCATCGTCAAAGGAGAAGCACCTGATGCTTAGATAATTGGTGTGGTTGTTTGTCACCACCACGAGTTTTGTCTTCTCGTTCTCCTTCTCCTCGTCGTCTTTGTCTATAGCATTGGTTGTTGGGATAAGCAACAGGAGTGCGACGAGGAGAAGTGAGGTGGTGGTCCATTCTCCTGAAATACGTCACGCAGGAAAGATATGTTGTATGTAAATATTGTCGGTGATTGTCGATGGAATTTTTTTCAAAATTAATCATCATTCACGAAGGGCTCTCTTCGAATTATTCGCGTTTTCTAGGTAATATGAGACAATATTACAACATTGGACGGTATAATGAACCTCAATAAGATATTAACTTTTTTATTTTTTAATCATACACACAAAAAGAAATAGAACAAGGAAAGATTAAGATTATTACATATACCTGTCATTTTTGGGTTCTTGAATGTATCAATTCTTGATGGAAAAATCACTAGAATTCCTTGATGTTCTTGAAATGAATATTTCAAGAAACCTCAAAATGGAAGAGAGAAAACAGAGAGATTCTGACAAATCCAGGTGACGAAGGCGACAGTGCACCCGTAAATAAATGCTTTCTTCCGCAATATTCGTTTGGTTTTTTTCTATTTTTAGATACATTAATTTTTCAAAACAGGAAATTAGAAAAATGTAAAGCATTTAGCATTTTGTTAAATATAATACAAATTGATATGCCAAATTTAAATATTGCATATAAATAGTCATATTTTCATGAAAATATAAGTACAGAAGATGGAAAAAGGATCTATATAATTAATTCGAAGGAGCTATTATTGATTTCAATAAAAAAAAATTATCCTCGATGCAAAAACTAATATTTTAAAACGATAGATATGAAGCCCCTATTTGGTGGCCTTAAAATTTTAAAAACATAGTTTTGAATATAGTATTTTTAGAGAATGTGTCATTAAAAAGTACGGGAAAATTTTAGGTTATGTATAGAATATTTTATTATTTGAATGTAAAGTTGAAAATGTGTATGAAAAATAAATTAAAATAAAGGGAATCAAAGAGGGGCGAAAATTCAATTTCAATTCAATCAGTAATATAATGGAATTATTATTGGATTTTATATTTAGGGGAAAAATTAAGTTAATCATAGAAAAACTCGAAATGTTTTTATTATCACAAATAGGAGCGAGAGTGGTTTGGTTCAGTCCGATTCTAAAGTGAGCTGAATCGAATCGCTTACCAATGGGAATATTGGGAATGAAACCATTGGTTCCATATTCAACTATAGAATCGAATCGGAACCAATTCAATCGGTTCTAATTCAGTCTGATTTGATCCGGTTCTTTATATTGAAAAAATTATAAAAATAAGTATGAAATTACTTGTCAAATTGAAAAAACAAAAATAGAATATGAAACCACTTGTCATTCTTGTAATCTAACAATATGAAAAATCAAT